ACTTGTATTACTGAGGGATGTATGATTTGAGGATGTTTTCAGCATTGTATAGCTTATGCGATTACAGCTCGGAGTTTTTTTTTGAGTTGGTTGAGTGCAGCAGGAAATTCTATAAAAGTTATTTCTTTTTTTATACTAAGCGCTGTAGGTGAGGAAATGTGTGTGCTAGGGGTTGGATTAGATTTCCGTTGTTTGTGGAAATTGCTGTCGAGTGATAGTAAAGTGGGTTACTGAGCGGTTGTTTAGTGTTGTAAGTGAGGTTTGATTAATGAATTTAAATAACATATATGTTTTTTAGATTTGTAATTGCCTAAACGGGTTTCGGCAGTGTTTTTGTGATAAAGTGTATGATTAATTGGGATAGGGATATTTTGAGTGCAATGTAAGTGTGTTTATTGTATGGAATTATCTTAGGGCTATGCTTTTTATACCCTTGCAGAGCCAAAGGGTATTATAATTTCAGTCAGAAGTTTGCTACGCAGTGAAGGAGACACCTCAGACCCCATAAAGTATATATATTCTTGATCAGCATAACAAGCAGAGTCGGAATACGTCTGTCCGTCTGTTTGTCTGTCCGTCTGACTGTTTCTATGTAAACTAGTCTCTCAGTTTTAAAGCTATCTTGCTGAAACTTTCCCAAAAGTTGTGTAGTTATTGCACGCAGTATATAAGTCGGAACGAGCCGGATCGGCCGACTATATCGGATAGCTCCCATACGAGAGAATGAAATAAAAATTCTCACGCCGTTGTTTTTTATCAGATCAACTTGAATTCTTCAAGATGGCGTTTTCTAACTGTTATTGAATTTCGGATTAAATTTTATCAAAATCGGATAACTCTATCATATAGCTGCCATAGGACAGATCGAAAAATATATATAGAATTAATGGAAATAAATTTGATAACATCGTTGTTTTTTAACCCACGAGCATGATTTTTTGAATATCAAGTTTTTTAACAACCCTTATATTGAGAAAAAGTTTCATAAAAATCGGACAACCATATCTTATACCTGCCATAGGAAAGATCGAAAATTCTATATAGAAATAACGGAAATAAAATTTTAACATCGTTGGTTTTAATTAGATAAGCATGATTTTTGGAATATAAAGTTTTCTAACGACTCTTGAATTACGAATTAAATTTGATCAAAATCGGAAAACTATATCGTATAGCTCCCATATGATCTAAGTCGAAAATAGGGAAAATGAAGAGAAAAATAGTCTTAGCTTCGATGTGGTTTAGCCTTTATGTATTTTGTTCGACATATTTGATGACTGCAAGGGTATATAAGCTTCGGCTTGCCGAAGCTAGCTTCCTTTCTTGTTTTTATGAGAATTTGCAGTTGGCTGTAGTTGTTAATGTATCCGTTCAAGTTCCACTGAACAATTTTAACCATTTTATAAGAGCTCAGAGTTATTTACCTGATTTAATGAGCGAGTGTTTTTGTTTTGTGTCTCTGTCGCTGTTAAGAATTTATTTTTATTTTAAGGATTTGGTGAGGGTGATGTGTTTGTAGTTGTTGGTGTAGAGTTTGGTGTAAGTTCTTCCGTTATGGTATCCACCGTAGAGGTGGATGGATAGCTGTCCATCAGTAAGTCGAGGACATCATACGTTGGTGCGTTTCCTCGTTTCGCAGCTGGGGGAAAGTTGGTAGTGTTTTTTAATTTTTGGAGACCGTTAGATGAGATAAAGGGCAATTTGTGATCTACTTTTTCTAGAGTTTTAAAGGACGTCAGTTCCTTTTGTTTTATCAAAATTTATCCAATGGGCTGTGCTCATTATCTGGTAGATCGTATATCCAATTTATGCAGAATTTGTCGTTGGTGCATATTTCGTCTATGGTTGGGTGATTTTCGGTTGACCCGTTGTTGTATAATTTGTTTGATAAGTAAGCGATTGTGCATTGTCCAAGTCTAAGGCAGTTTGTGCATCTAATTGGAAGAGGAATATATGGTCGGACATTTACTCTCTCTTATCCAATCATCATTATTTCTGGGAGGGCTAATGATGCGAAATAAGTCCAGTTTCTTTGAGTTCACTGCTTTCCATTTTTTTTATTTTACGAATTTCTCCGAGATTTTGTGCTTTCAATTCCTGTACTATGATTTTGTCGTGGATGTTACGAAGGTCATTGGAGCATTTAACTTTGGAGGAGCTGAGTGTTTTGTGTTCGCTAACTTCTACGGGAAAGTCATAAAAGGTGGTTTGAACTAGTAATAATCTTATTTTGGTGATCTTAGCTGTTTCCACTTCACCGTTGCACGTGTAGTCAATTAATTTTTTTCATACCCTTACAGAGCAAAGGTTATTATAATTTTAGTCAGAAGTTTGCAACGCAGTGAAGGAGACACCTCAGACCCCATAAAGTATATATACTCTTGATCAGCATTACGATCTGAATCCAAATTCGTTGGTACGTCTGTCCGTCTGTTCACCTATCTGTCTGTCCGTTTCTACGCAAAATAGTCTCTCAGTTTTAAAGCTATCTTGCTGAAACTTTCCCAAAAGGTGTGTAGTTATTGCACGCAGTATATAAGTCGGAACGGGCCGGATCGGTAGACTATATCACATAGCAGTTGTTTTTAATCAGATCGACTTGATTTCTTCCAGATGGCGTTTTCTAACTACTATTGAATTTCGGATTAAATTATATCAAAATCGGATAACTTTATAAATAAAAATAGCAGGATTTTTAGAACATCGAGCCTTTTAAAATTTCATAAAAATCGAACTACTATATCATATAGCTCACATAGGAAAAATCAAAAATCTATATAGAAATAACGGAAATGAAATTATAACATCGTTGTTTTTCATCAGACAATCATGATTTTTGGAATATAGAGTTTTCTAATGACTCTTGAGTGTCAAATTAAATTTCATTAAAATCGGACGACTATATCATATAGCAGTCATATGAACAATAATCGAAAATATGGAAAATTAATAGAAAAATCGTTAAAGCTTCGATGTTGTTTAGCCTTTATGTACAGTCGAGTCCCGATAATTCGAAATGGCAAGGGGATCACTTTTTTTACGAATTAGACGGGAATTCGATTTATCGAGATTTCTATTTAACGGTGCTCAATAATGAAAGAGTCGAATAAACGGGGTTTTTACATTTCACATCATGTTTACATATGTATTTAACTTTATTAAAATTAAACAAACATTATAAGTATGTACATTCATTTGTACGTTTTTCAAATTAAAGGAAAATTAAACAATAACATAAAATTATAATGCGAGAGAAACACAAAATTCATAATGCATAGCGACATAAAGGGGGCATAGCTATCTACAAAATCTAACGGTGCTTGAACTACAAAAAATTTCGCATCGCATTACGATTTATAAGAGGTTACGAAATAAATATACGATTTATAAGAGGTTCAATATTCTTTGCGTTGCGCCAAATACTACGAATTAACGAGGGGACCAAAATGTATGGAATTTTTACGAATTAACGAGTTTTTTTCAAGGGGACAGAATTTCTTACGAATTATCGCGATTTTCGATTTAGCGGTGAACGAATTATCGGAATTCGACTGTATTTTGTTCGACATATGTATCTGATGACTGCAAGGGTATATAAGCTTCGGCTTGCTGAAGCTGGCTTCCTTTCTTATTTGTAATTATTATTTGGTCAATAACCCTTTTTACTTTTTTTTTGTTCTGTTTTTTTGCTTTCGTTTTTGTTTTTTTTTTGTCACTTTTTTGTAGTTGATGGTATTTTAACTGTTAAGGTTTTTGTGTCCACAGGTGTCCAGTCACAGGTCCTTACTAGATGCCTAGAGCGGCATTGATAAAACAAAATTACTGGCTAAGTTGTTGAGATGCACCGATTTACATCTGTGCTTTGCTTTATATATAATATACATATATAATAAAAAACAATTTGTCTTGCCACCCTTATTAAATTTCGATTTACTCAAAGGTCAAACAAAAAAAGAAACCGAAAACTTTTCAGCCTTGATAATTAACTCTATAAACCTTGCACGGTTAACTAATTTCCGAATTTATTTTTCGTAACACAAACAAACAAATTAATAAGAATAAACATTTGAAAATAGGTTTGCACAAGTGCGACATACGTCCATTTTTGGTTGAAGGTCAGCAAGTTGGCCTTATTAAATCAGACGTTTTAAAGCATCTCGTGAAGTATCCTGAAGTATTTTGCATTCGTGACTGCGACCAAACCCAACAAGTGAGTATAATCCATATTAAGAACTAATTCTTATTTTTATTTAACCATAGGGCTTGGTTGAGCTTAATCCAGCATTCCGTGACTACAACGAGCGTACTGAACAACTGGAAAAGGTACTGCAAAACCTGCGCTCTGAAGGATTGTTTCCTGCTTTACAGGGGTGGAGGGATGAGTATTTTGAAGTGAAGTCCGAGCGCAAGTCTCTGCTTAAAATGGAGCGAGCGGCAACCCCGCTCTTTGGAGTCCGCAAGTACGGTGTCGATATCAACGGCTATGTGCGTCATCCAACGCATGGATTATGCATTTGGCTGCAGCAACGGTCCAACACAAAAGAGACATGGCCAGGAAAATGGGATAATATGGTAGGTGGTGGACTATCTGTGGGCTATGGCATTAAGGAGACCGCCATTAAGGAGGCCGCTGAAGAGGCATCAATTCCGTGTGATCTTGTCAAAAATTTGGTTTCGGCGGGATGTGTTTCTTTTTTTACTTTGAAAGCCGTCAAGGGCTCTTCCCTAATACTGAATACGTGTTTGACTTGGAGCTGCCGATCGATTTTGTTCCACAAAACGCTGATGGAGAGGTGCAGGCCTTTGAGCTACTTCCTGCTAAGGAGTGCGTGGAGCGGGTTTTTACTCCGGATTTTAAAACAACTTCTGCACCAGTTGTAATTGATTTTCTTATTCGCCATGGCCACATAACTGCAGATGATGGTAAGGGATGACCGATGAAAATATTGTTGAAAATATTGACTTTTTTTTTGCAGTTGTAGACTTTACACAAATCGTTGAGCTCTTGCACGTTCCCTTACAATCCCTTTATACATACAAGGTGCGCCTGGAGCAGGCCCAAAAACAACAAAGTTTTTCAGACGATGCCAGAAGCCGCCATTATGCAAGCTTACAGCCATTGTCCGTGGAAAATGGGCACAAAAAAACAGCTTAGTCAGACATTTAAAGGGAACAAAGATTAAAATAAGGTTTAAAATCAATTGCAATTGTCAGATAAGATACAAGAGACTTATAGAAGTAGACACCTAAGTCAATAACCAATATAAATAAAATACGTAAACATCGTTAATATATTACGGGAAGACAAAAGCCCAAACAAAACAAGCTAATATAATATAAACATTTGTAATGTCAAATCCACTTTATGTTAAAAGTTACGGCTCTCTTGGCAACCAAAAAGGATTTGTGTAACTGGATTTTTTTCTTGACATGAAAGGCGGTATGACTTGCCTAAATTGTAAGTTCTTAGTCAAACGACAAATTCCTTTTAGTTTTAAATATCTATTATTTATACTGTATTCATCGATACATTTAATGGACACATGGAAATCGTTTAAAAGTTTTATGTTGTAAATTTCCATATAAGATGTATTAGAAGTTTCGTGAAAGTGAATTTTACGATGACATTCACTACTATATATGTGTACCAAAGTGCTCAATCTTAAGATAGATTTATATAATGGTAGATAGGCTTCTGTTAAATTTGTAAAAAATTTTGTAACTTAATAAATGATACAAAAATAAGCATTACAATTTGGATACCCTAAAGCAGACTCAGCTAAAGCAAATATATTTGTTAGTAATCTTAATGTAAGTGTTTAAATGTAAATTTACCACGCTGACACTGCATTGACAAAGTTTCAAATCACTAAATTTTAAACGGACATTAAATTTTGGAGTAATTTTGGTTATACTTTCAGTCAGGAAAGTTTGCAACGCAGTGAAGTAAACAACTCGGACCCCATAAATAATAAATATATTCTTGATCGCTACTGGCTAATCACTAGCACGATCGAAAACCAAAGATTAATGAATCCCCTACAAAAATTGAAGAGGCCCTAAGCTCCCGGGTGGAGTGAAGAAGCTTCATAAATTTCTTCATAGTGAATGAGTAAAAGAGACAGAGCTAGTGGTCAATCTACACATGCCTGCAGCTTCGTATGATTGATTCTTCGTCCAACGAAACATTTAATGGACAAATCCATTTGCTGCTACTGTAATATAAGGTTGTCAAAAAAATCTTTCAGTATTTTTATTGAATTTTCAATTGTTCATAAAATTAGTTATAATAATGCGATTTAACCCTTTATATGGCCGTGATGCATATCTGCAACATACCGTTCAAATTCATTTATTTTTCAACGGGCGTTGCAAAACTGTCTGAAATCTTTTTGATGGAGTTCAGAAACTTTCGTTTTTTATATAACAAGTGTTAGTCACTCAAAATTCTGTCCAATACTCAACAGATGATTACTTTTCCCGCCAATTTGGTGAATATGGAAATCTGAACTGGTTGTGCAGTTTCTCATCCAAATATAAATATAAAAAAAAAATGTATAGTTAATTTAATTTATATTTATAAACAGGTAAAAATTATATTTAGTTATATATTTTCGAGTTTTTGTGTTTGTTGCATTATAATACGAATAAATCAACAATTTTGCCTTGTTGCAGATATGCATTAAAATAGCTTTACACATAAAAAAAATAAGGTAAAACCAAAAAAATTAAAAAAATAAAAAGAAGTGTATTTTTTATTTTCACTTATCTACCAAACAATAAAAAATCAAGAAAATTGGTGTTATTGCCATATAAAGGGTTAAGGCAGGTTCTCACCTTGTGCGGAAAAAAAATCTATTTTTTTGGCTTATCGTATAGATATGCTCCAAAAATGTGCTCAAAAAAATTTCAAATAAAAATTTGAAAAATTACAAGAGTTAAAGGCCTTTACATGGAGCACATGTCAAGCAACGGTCTTTTGAAGCCTTACGGGAGTGATTGAAGGCGTTGGGATTAACCAATCGTCATCAAATTTTTTTTAAATGTTCCTAATTATTTCTTTTAACTAATGAAATAGGATTATCCAAAAATATCGATTTTTTTTGACACAAGGTGAGAACCTTCCTTAAGTCAAATATTCGCCGTTTTGTTCGATGACGAATTCCCAACGAGATGCCAACTTCATAATGCCCCTCTTATAGAAGCTTGCTTCCCTATTGGCAAAAACAAACTTGCAAGCGGTCCAGTTGTTGGCAGTACAGGTCCGAATTGAGCGTTTGGCCATAGGGGAGCAGCTCATAGTGGATGATTCCCTGTCAATCCCACCAAACACAAAGAAGAAGGCTTGGCCACCGTCTGGGCAGCTTCACCGCTTTTCTACCACGACCGTTTACGCTTCACGTTGTCGTATGTGACCCACTTTTCATCGCCAGTCACCATCCCCTTCAAAAACGGGTCGATTTTGTTGCAATTCAGAAGCAATTCGCATGCATCCATTCGGTTAAAAATATTTTTTTTTGCGTCAAGTCGTGTGGCACCCGTATCCGTTCTAGCGTGAACCGATGCGACGAATAAAACTAGAGCTACGCGCTTGCAAAGACACCTAGCGGAAATACCGCAAGACTTTTTTGACAACCTAATATATATTCAATAAAAAGCGTCTCCAGAAAAAACTAACAAAGAAAAATAAACACATTTTTTCGCACTTACCCCTGAAACTAGTAATACTCCCTTGATCAAAAAGTTCCCGACTTTGCCACCGTCTGGCGCTCCCAGTCAAACGATTTCAATAAATTGGTAGAACTGTTGTTTATATTCCCACCAATTTTCAGCGTCATCGATTGACATTTGTCAAAGTTACGTTGTGTTATTTACATTAACCTTTGAGCGTGTCTTCGATTTTTTAGATTTTAAAAAATGGATAGAAAACAAGAGCAACGAATTTGCATTTAATTTTGTGTTAAAAATGTGTTCTGTGTTCTGACTACTTTGGAAATGTTGGAGAAGTGTTTCGCCATAAACCGCAAATTGACTATTAGAGAGATGGCAGAGGAGTTGGACATTGCTTTTGGAACCGTTCAAGATATTTTGGCTAATGATTTGGGTTTCAGACTCATCGCTGCAAAGTTGGTGCCAAAAGAACTGAATTTCATACAAAAAACGCCTTAATTATCCGTGACCATTTGGCTAAAAACAGCACCAATACCATCCAACAACCACCGAATTTACCGGATTTGGCTCCCTGCGACTTTTACCTGTTCAGTCGACTTCAAAAACAGCTCCGCGGAACGCGTTACAGCAGCCGAGATGAGATCATGGAAAAATCGAAGATGGATCTGATGGCCATACCGCGAGCTGACTTTAAAAAGTGTTTTGAGGATTGGATCAAGCGCTGGCATAAGTGCGTTGCAGTCGATGGGGAGTACTTTGAAGGGGACAATATTGATTTTGATGAATTACTTTGTATTTTTGATTTTATTAATAAAAGTCGGGAACTTTTTGATCAAGGGAGTATATGTATATATATTTTTTTTTAATTATGGTGTTTTATTTTTCGAGTCTTACGACAAGTATTCAAATCTTAGCCAAATACATATATTAAATTAGTCAAAATTAAGTTTTTAGAAGATGAACGGTCCTAGCTATTGTTGCTGGATGGGAGATCTCTTCGCCGGAGTCGTTTATGGCTAGAGTTCCAGGTTAAAGACCTCGCAAGCCTATTTGGATGAGCTTGTGGCTTGATCGTATACTTTGTTTTTATTTTGTCGATTTCTTTTTAACTTAAATCTCTGTGAATGTCTTAATTCCGTTTGTATTATTAT